TGAAATGATCGTGGGTGTGCCTCAAATCTCCAAATACTTGTCTCTCTAATTCACCCTATACACCGATCTATAAATTCGGCTGGTCATGGGCCACTCATCTGCCCATTCATTGTCACCAAATGGACACGTATGGGCTTCAGATCACCACAAGTGGTGGCAAAGAAACTGTTTCTTTTCTAACATAAATCACTGATTTGAGAAAACACCGTTTCAAACTTCGAGTTTCCATGGTGCAGGGATGAGAGAAGGTGCGTTTGGGGCCGTTTTTAAATGCTTTCCACATCACCTAAAAATACGCCATTTAGTGTACGTACTTTTTTAAAAACGGTTGTCTATCTCAGGGTACTTCAACACAAAAATTTTGGGCTGTCTATCTGTACATTTGTCTGTTTATCCGCCGTAACGATACTCCAATCGACACCAAGCGATACCCTCCAACGGCCAACCTGATCCGAACCACCCACCAATATTGTTTAAGTTCCAGCGTTCATACTTGTGCGATTGTCAAATAAAAAGCAAATATTGCGCATATGGGAGGAACCATAACAACACGTCAATATTTTGTACATGTGTCTTTATACTAGAGAAGGCACACATAAGTAATTCTAAGGACGGTAGCGTTGATCACGGTGCGCTGACAAGGCAACGCGATGCTCAAAAAGGCAAGTGTTTCCAAGGCTTTGCCCGTCGCTTTGCATTTTACAGCTTATCGCCTACGAGGCAGGCGCGCATCTTTTTCCGTAGGTGCGCACACCTTACTTCGTTTTCGGAGATGACTGTCAGATAGAGCTCATGTCTAACGTGTCTCGATGAGCTTGTTCTCCTTCGCTGCACAGATCAAGACTCTCTAACGCAGCGCTTCCAGAATATAGTTCACCAATTTTCTGGCGTAAAACATCAAATTAACGCTTTGTTCACTTTCTCCGCACCCAAGAATGTCGTCTTTTGACAACATTTGCAGTAAAACATGCAGATACGGGGCTATTTTTTATTCAAAATGTTTCACAGGTCCTTCGAAGGGCATTGAGTAAGGGGGACATCAGTATGTACATATAAAGAAATACAGACATAATGTTCAGTAACTCTTAAGCATCACTTGATCGGCGTCCCTTGTCAGTAAAGCTGAAATATCATGCTATGAAAAATAGGAAATGGGATTTCTCTCTCCATTCGCGCTTAAATATACACCTAAATACACCTTTGCGGCTACATTCAGCTAAAGATACAATGCCGTGAAATAGAAAAAGAAGCATTACAGCAGGTTCCACAGTTAATATCATGCATGATACTTTGCATATTGGCTAGTCTAGAATATAGGTGGTCGAATTTTCCACTGATAAGCTGCAACTCTTATCAGACGACTACAGAAGATTGGTCCACAACATTCAAGCCCCGATAATTCGTTTCACTTCGTCTTATTGTCTCTGTAGCTGCTCACTGTTTCTTCATCTTGTTAAATGCTTATTTTTTCTCCTGAAGAAAACGCACATAATTATTTCTATTGCACACACATCATGACTTTCCTGCAGTACATCTGGCTGCAGAGCCTCTAAAGCGCCGATCCAGGAGCCACAAGGTGCAGTTGATATACGTCCTGTACTGCACAATGTGTGCTGTATAAGACACGACAGAACAATGCCTTCAAGAGATATTCTACACAATGGGGTTGTTTTCTCACATAATCGAAAGGAGAAAAATAACTAAAAGTGCGTTCACTCGCTCGTATAGATGAATGTGTTCAGCTAGTTTTTTTTTCCTTCGGCAAGTTTAGTCCCTCAAGCCTGTTTAAACAAAACGGCAGCCTAGCTTCAGTTACACAGACACTGGCGTATAAAGTGCGATGATTACGCTGTTTCAAACATTCGCCGTCTTGTTTGTTCAACTGTTTTTACCCGGTCATGGAACTAGTAAGTGGGCCGATCTATGTTAAAAAAACAGAAGTTTAAATTTAACAATTCATTTTGCTCGTTAGACACAATATTATAGGGAACTAATCGTCAGTGATGCCACTGAAAGTATAGGGTGATATAATTAGTAGCAAATGCATTGTAAATGTGAAGAAACAAAAGTGGACGAAAATATAACTTGCAGTGGCACAGATCCAACCTTCGATCTTCAAATAGCGTGTTCGATGCTTTACCAAGTGAGCTAAGATGGTGAGCATCTCTTTGGCCACTTTATAAGGTACAATAAATGTGCATCTAAACGGTAAAGCATCAGTGAACGCCGCCAAAAGCATAAATGGCGAGTGTGGAACGCCTTTTTTTTTTTTGCCTGTTGATGTCACGTAGCGCCTATGATTGCTACTATTCTCGTATCCCATAGTTTCTTTGGCATCATTGTTTGTTACTTTTCATGATTATTTTGTCTCTACTAGTTCAATTTCATAGACATTGGTGTTTCTATGACTTTTTGAAGCGAGCACAACTTGAAGTTGTACTTAGTAAAATTTGGGTGACATAAAAAGAAAAAAGTTATATATATATAGAAGAAATATAAATGTTAGGTTTCGAAGAACGTCGAAAAGTCATAAGCAAAGAACCACTTGTGTAGCAATCACTGCAGAAAATTTGAATATGTTTTTATTTTAGAACTTTCTTGAAAACTGATTCGACGACGTTTCGCTACTGTGAAGGACTCAGTTTGTTTTGGTTGCCTGAAAAATGCTGTTTGTTTCTCCTTGAAGCGTCGTGTTTTATATTTTGCCTCAGAATAGGCACTGCAAAAGTCGAATAACTTATAGTTGCAAGAAAACTAGTATTAAGATACCTTTGAAAAGTCTACATTTATAAATTGATGTTACTTATCAGAAAATTAGGAAAAATGTGCAATTTATACTAGTTTGTTGTACAGGTAGGTACAACAAATTTAACTTAAACTGCTCCAATGCGCAATGACAAGGTTTCCTTTCTACCTAAAAACAAACAAACAGAATAATCTATTTTTAAAGAGCTCGTTTAAATTATTATGCCCTAGAGACAGTGTGCTTTATCCAGAGTTAGGCCAGTTAATCTGAGGCACTTATTCATTTCATTCAACGCCTGTACTTCAGTGAAATTTGTAGAGTGCGTTTATTGGGTCGCGCAATAGTGTGCTGTCGTCGCTTGGTGTAATGCTTCATGTGTAGCATATTGAACGCGCGTTCAGACCAAGAAGAAATCTTCTTCCTCCGGTTATTCGAGTGCCTTGATCATGATATGTGAGTGTCATCTCACGCCATCAAGAAGTACTTTTCCTCTTCGTGAAGCACCTCGATGATGATCACTTATCTTCATAGACAACAATAACAATACTAGTGCACTAGGCGTAACACAAGCAAAATCATCATTTAAAATAGAGAAAAAAGGAGAAATAAAAGTAGAAAAGCGCAAAGTAAGAAAGAGAAAGGAAATAAATGGGGATAATTAAAGTAAGTAAGAAAGCGTAATGAATAGGTATAAAGCGGGGGAGGAATAAAAGGAAATGAAGAAAAAAACAGATAAAAGAAGAGTTCAGCCATTAAAAAGATGTTTAAAGAGAGATAAAAACTGAAGTAAAACAAAAAAGCTTCTAGCTACACTCTTCCTCTTACCGTAGAAGCCCTAACGCGAAGCTGTCATATTTGTTTAATAGATTGCACGCTCCATCATTAAAAATTGAACGTAAGTAACGGTTTTTTATTGACAATATATAGTTGTTGCTTTTTTTTTCGTCTAAACGTCAAATAGTAGCTGTAGCGAACAAGTATGAAAGAAACAAGGCTTGTCTGAAACCACCAACGAAAGAAAACTGCACTACCGTAGAATATAAGTGGAGTTTCCTCGAGGGGTTGAATGGTTGCTACCAGAACAATGTGTGCTCAGACCACATAAACAACTTCGAGGACAAATTCAAGTACGCAGATAACCTAGAAATGGCATCCTCTCTTCTCAAAAATGAATGCTATAGCTTTAAATTTTACTGTGTCTCACGCACACGGCTGCGGACACACGCTGATATGAGCATGGTGAGCTCATGATCATTGCGTCTCCCGCTAATTGTATGGCAGCTTACCACAGAACCAGCCCCTGTAGCCCTCTATTATACGTTGCGTTCCCAAGTTCTCAGGTGCGTTTTAATCCTTAGTCATGGGGGCAAGGAATTCAAAGCACCTTCGTGTGCTCATGTAAGGGCACACGTTAAGAATGCCAGTTAGTCCAAAATATTCCGGAGACTTCTAGTATAACGTATCTCATAATGCTGTCGTCATTCTAGTGCGTGAAACACCAGTGACTATTACCAGTGAGAAATCAATATCAGCAAGGAACCACAGTACAGGATGAAAGTTTTTTTTTTTTGAAACTTGGAAGATTTCCTTGTAGAGAAAATAGCATCGCCTTACCTCTAGTAAGGCTATGCTAGTTTCAACGAACAAGAGCATGATTGCCATTGTTTCTTTCTTTATTTTCAGTAAATTGAAAACAAACTGTAGCCAAATGAAAGATTCAGAGGGATACTGTTTAGTAGGAAAATAGACTTTTTTCAGCATCAAGAAATTGTTGGTATGCCACTCTGTATAGGGATGGGCAGTATGACTAAACTATTTGAAAAGAAAGGGAATAAAAATTACGAAAGAAAAACTGTTATGTTGCGTTACAAGCTGTTGGGTTGCGTTTGCTCGTAAATTATTTTTGTAATGACCCATTCTTGAGTTTGCTAACCAGCAATTCTTATCCGAAAAGGTGAATCATCTTATCAAAAAATATGTTCTTCTCAAAATAAAGTTCAGACAAATAGCAAGGCTTATCTAAGCCTGCGTTTTTAAAAGAAACACTCTGCCTACTAGGACGTATCATTCTTAACAGTGTGCATGTTATTTTCACTAACGCAAATTTTATACGATTTGGTAGCCTGAATAGACTCTTCATGAACCAAATTCAGTAAACGATTTGTCCACATTTTCATGCAGCTCAATACGATGTCGTGTTGTTAGCTCATAATAGAAATTAATTTCTCGCTTTGAACTGTGCTTCCAGTTTGGCGGCCCTTACCTCCAAGTAAAAAAGTTACGTGCAGTGAATGGCTTCGTGGAAAGCCGTGCTACCGCTTCTGGTTTGCATATTACCCTGATATTTACGGATTTTTCTGGCCCTACATGTTCTACACTGGATGCCGAGAATGGAAGAATAAACTTTATGTTTACGATCCACGGGTAAAGACCTGTCAAGGTAAGCATCATTCTGCAACGAATCTCGTTTGAAGCTTTGAACTGGTATAGCGCATTACGGAAAGAAGAAACGGCCGAGCAGACAGACACAAGAGGACAGAGCGCTCTGTCCTCTTGAGTCGGTCTGCTCGGCCATTTCTTCTTCCCCGTAATGCGCTATACCAGTTCAAGTACGACGAACCAACTCGCCCAATCTTCACTTTTGAAGCTTTGTTCTTTAGGAAGACAGAAACAGTGTAATTCGATCAACTACAGAAAGTGACCACTGGTAAAAGTTAAGCTAATAAGTTGTCGGCTCCATGATAAACGAAGAAATGTTCATCGTCTTTTGAAATACAAGTGCAAGACGTACAGTGCCCTCCATTGTTAAGGTGAACACGGCTCAGCGTGGCCGCGCTCAGCGCAGCGCCAGTGTAACAGGCGTGGCCGTGCATCGAAGCGTAGCGATGCATGCGCTAAACTGGCACACGATAGTTGTTTTACGAATGTCTTTTAGATCGCTTGAGCGTGCCGTTCCATAGTAGCCAAGCACTAATATTGCTTCTCAGTTGTGCAGCAAGACCAGCCCGCTCGTGTGCGCCTGCGCCTCTTGAGTTTAATGCGCGGCCACGCCAGCTGCAGTGGCGCTCCACACAGCGTCACCACGCTCAGTCCTGCTTAGCCTAACAGTGGACGATAATGTGCACATGTCATAACAGCAACAGAACTTTAGTGACTCTTGCGTTGCTTTTCTCTAGTTTCTTACAATAAAAAGTGCTCGAACGTGATAAGCGCTTTCCGAACATATTGTGTTAGAAATATAGGTTGCCCTATTATCCTGCTGCTCACAAACCTTGTTGATGCTGACAGACCTTGTTAAAAAGTTATCGCACGCTGCTCCATTGATGTTCTCAGAAAAGAGGAAGATCGCAAAATAATTCTTTTGCTGTTGGTATATCTGAACAACTTTTCTTCTTGAATCTATATGTTTGACGTTCATGAAAGACAGTATATTAGCGCTGGCGAAGACCACCAAAACAAAGTAGAGACGCTAGACACAGGTGTGCTTCCTTGTGGTCTTCGGGCTCACGAGCGCCAAGGTACTGCCTTTTCGAAATGCAACAAGAAGCTCTCGTCACTACATACCTGTGACGTTGATGACTTTACTTTTTCAGAAATACCGAGTTGTTTGTCATGCGAAGGTGTATGAGCACATGCGTGTCTGTTCCATGGAGGTCTCTAATACTTCAACGCCATAACTTCAAGCACAGTACGTTTGTACATCAATAAATCACGTGACAGCAGGTATAACGTGACAGGAGAATGCACAAGACCGGATTGATTGGTGAATCGATGAAGAAGCCGTTGCCCTGCACTGAGCGTAGTCAGGCTGCTGCTGATTACGATGTATGTGAGGTACATTCTCAAATAAGGAATAGTACTTTACCCCTATCCATCAAGGGCAACGTATATAACAGATGTTATTTACTGCCATAAAAAGATATTCTTTTGAAACGTATAAAATTATGTTCAGAATTGAGCTTCTCAGCGAAAAAAACTGCATCCCATCTTGCACTTACTTGTGCAGGACGGGACTGTCTTTTGGCCACTCATTGTTCCGAATGAGGGTGCTAGTCATTGTTTGAAAAGGCAAGTGTTCTCGCGTCCCACACGAACGAAGGCACAAGACTTGTAATCTAAGCCACAGCAGTCGCTCGAGGCGGCTGCATCAGTGAAGCACCAACATCTTTATCGGCAAAGGATTGGCGTGTTTAAATCGGCACATGAGGGTCTGGGATGAGCACGTGGTTTTTTGCAGTCTCTTTTGATTTTGTTGTTGTGTGTTTTTTGTTTTCTCCTTAAGCAAGTGATGTTATCTTCTTTCTTTTTTGTACCATATATATGTGCGCCTTAGTAGTAATAAATAAGTTGAAAGTCTGCGTTCGTCCTCTTCTTTTGTGTTCGTTGTCGGAAGTTCTTTGCACTGAGAAGTTCAATAATGGAATTACCAACTAGCCCAATCCGACACTTTACATTGAAATTGACGAGCTTTATCTGAAGTGGGTCAAATCAACAACTAAAGCTTGCTCAAATGAGGCTGTATTGAGAGACACATACTCCCAGCTTTCCGTTGAAACTTGTACTAATAAATAAATCTTGTATTAATAATTTATAATTATTTTTTAAGAAGTTGGAAGCATACTTGGGTGAATAAATCCTTATATGAGCTAGTTGGGTTAAGAATTTGGCCCATTTCGAAGAAACAGCTCTTCATTTAGTCCATATTTAAACAGGAAAGGGATATTACCATCAATAATTTGTACTAATTGAAAAAATGTTCAGGGGAAGCTTAACGCAGAAAAATCATTTCTAATGTAAAACTGAACGTCGGCATTGTTATTTTATTTACACTTGTAGCCACTCTTCATGTCACGTGTACAATGGCAAGGTAGGATTTATCTTAGACACAGAGAGCAACGGCTCGTCGACAGCAAGCGCTGGTGACGTCAACCCTTCAGAAAACCCCGAGAAAACACGCAAACTGCTACGTTGTCTTTGTTTTTGCGAGTGTACCCAGCTCATGACGCACCTGAGGCAACTGAGTGCGACTATGGCCACTTCTAATATAATGAAACCTTAGATTAACGTCCCGAAAATCGCCTCATCTGCCAAAGTGTTATTTCTATAGCACCCTAACTGCACAAATGTAGACAATGAGCGCTTGTGATACGCGAACTATTGATCGCATTCAGTATGTTAAGACTCTCGAGATCTGGTGCCATGTTGATTTTTTTTATGGAGTTTATACAACAATGCACAAACAGTAAAATAAGAGGTGCCATGACGAGATAAAGCTATAGCTTAAGCAATCACATGGGCGCACGTGATTGCAATGAAGCCGAGTTTCGCGTAGTTAGGCGGTCGAAAGCCGTAAAGGGATATGCTAGAAACGCTGCTTAGTGAACATCCACGGTGCATTGGAGTGCTTCGTCAAGGCAGTTTAAAAATCCTCAGCGTGCATAATCACAACGCACTTTCTCATGAAAGAACGCTTCACGACCATGCAACACATGAGTACTTTATATATTTTTCCGCGTGAAGCATTCGACCAAAACAATCATAAACCTTTTTTTCTGAACTCATTTCTTCCACAGGCTGTGTATCTTGAAGTCTTTGTTGAGGCACTGTCAGCGTCAAGTAAAATCTGGACAGCTGGCAAGCATTCGGATTGCATATAGTTCACGCTGTGGACGCGCAAAGCGCTGCCTAAATGCAGCGCTACACGCCTTTCAAAGGTGATGAGTTGACAGCGCGTACTATACGATTGCTAAAGGTTGCCACTGTTCTATTTTCAATAAACGCCAATAATACATTACACTGTTCGAAAACGCGTCAGCAAATACGGCAGCACTAGCCCAGAGCTGTAAAGTTACACTTGTGAAAAATTATCTGGAATTTCGGTTCATTTGCCCAAGCCCGTCGAATTGTTAGAGCTAAGGTTAGAAAACAACAGTAGATATCTTTACCTTACGTGGTGAGCACGACCATCGGCTTTTAAAATTGTCAGCTGGTATTGCCAAAGGAAAATACTACAGAAATGTATACCAAGTTGATCATGGCATCTTCAGGCGATAGTTAGTTGATTTAATAGCTGAGTTAACGCGGTGCAAGTGATAGCGGTGTGAGGGAGGCTTCGGTATCGATCTTTGCTGCCGAAGAGTCCTCTTTGGTGGATAAGGTGCGTTAGCACGTGATACTTCTGGGTGCGACTGCGAAGCTATGTTCAGTTTTCCTATTTACCGATGCTATACGGTCATTAAAATAGTTGTTAGTTTGCCTCCGATCTGTTTACTGTTCCTTTTTTGGGGTGTACTTTTTCATCTAGCAGATCTTTTTTTCTGTACAATTAGAAGTCGCCCAGTACGAAGAAAGCAGGGGACCCCAGATGCCGACTTTCCTGAGTGACGCGCGGAAGCTGTCCTTTATTCAAAGGCTGCTGTACACATTAAAGGGGCCCTGCAAACCTTTGTAAAGTTGCCGTTGAATAGACTTTGCTAAATAGGCTTATCGCCTAACGAATTCACCGCAGCAATTTTTTTTTAGAGTCATTCCTGTACGAGTGGAATCACAAAGACCACGTTACAAGCGTATTTTCTCTTCTCTCGTCCCGAAGAAAGTGCTGGAAGTTAAGCAGGGAGGGGTGACACGGGGAAAAAAAATACATCCCCGCGCACTTCGTAATATTAGGCACTTTCTCTTCAAACACATGGTTTTTAAGTGCCATCGCACCCGCATGGTTGGACAAGTCGCGGTATGCCAGGGTGGCTCTTGAAACAACCAAGCGCGCCATACTCAAATCAGCGACTGATTGATACAAAGGCTGTGACGAGTGATTTTTGAGCACCTGGCATTATTTGGCGAGAAAAGAGAGATGAATTTTAAGCTGATTTTGAGCAGTTATTGTGAATTTTAGGCTGCCTGTTGAGCTATAATATTTGACCCACGTATTGGAGCCTCGAGTAGCAATTGGCCGCGTTTACTGATAACACTCAAGAAGTCTTGCACAGTTCCCTTAAGAGTGTTTACTTCAGGCATGCTAATAGAAGGGTCACTGGTCTTTATTATGTAGTAAGCTTCAACGATCTCTTTTTCATCCTATATAGCGCCCTCTTTAAGAGTCTTGTGCGTGCAAACTCACTTGTGCACCCGCAAACTTTGCATTGTTCGGCCAAATGACCTTAATAAAGTAGTGGTGGCATTTTAGTCGCTTGATGAGAACGACCGAATGGAACGTGGGAAGTGCTCCACTGCAGTAATGTGTGCCATGTCTGTTAGGCTGGAGCGTAGGTGGTACATCATATTTTTGCAGAACAAATCTGCACACATTGTGTGTTAGCAATGTGGTGGACTTTCAAGCTGGGGAGCCATTGGTTCGTGTGACGATGGCTGCGAAATATTGGCATCTACCAATCAGTATATCATTAATGGACGCTGTTCTAAGTTATGTCAAATGCGATAATAATGAGAACTCTCGTACGTGATTCAATGCTACCTGTGTCACAGAAAAAAAAAAACCTCCCGAATATATTTTTTTTTTTCCAATTCAGCCTGGCATGGGCAAAAACGCAATTAACACATCAATGGTCCCAACCTGTTTTGGTTGAACAGCTTAGTGTCATCAGCATTATTAAGAAAGTGCCCCATCATTGTTACATTATCGTAGGACTAAGTGAGCCTAAATTTAAAGGGCTTTGTATTCATGAGCCGAAAGTGCAGCACTAATTTTCATCTAACACTCTAACATTTTGTGAAAAAATAGCAACAAAGGCCATAAAGACGAAGCATACGCAGATAAAAGCGTTTTGTCAGAGAGGAATTTAGTTGTATCTGAGTGTCGGGGATATGGCATAGAACCGCCGTAGAGGAACTCGATTCCATCGAGATAGTTAGTGGGAGATATTTTTGTTTACACTGCTGAGGTCATGAAGACCGGGCTTCTATTCCGTCTTCCCCCTCTACTCCGCCTCCGTCATATATCACCTAGTGCCTGCTGGCGCTTCTTCGTACTCTTCTAGTTGGTCTACGAACGCTCGCGATGGAATCAAGATCAGCATGTCTTAAGAATACGCCTTTTTATAACCATGCAACTATAATGCAACCATGAACTGCATGTTAAAATCTAAAAGAAATAGCGTATCGTTAAATATATTAGATCTGAACAGGAAAAGAACATTGTTGACCATTTGCACTACTAACTGTTATGTCATCAATCAGGGATATTCTATTACAGTAAGGTTATTAACAATGCTGAAATGGAAGCTATAATCGTTGATTTTGCAATGGGCCTTTAATATCTTATTCTCGTGGAGAATATAGGAGTAGAATTCATCTAAAGACGCAGGGAGCAATGGCTTCCTGGAAACAGCCGCTGCTGACGTCAATCTTTCAGATAGCCCTGTGACAACGCACGACTTGTTACTGTTCCCATTCGTCTTCACTAGTGTGACTGTTCATGACGCATTTGAAGCAACTGTGTACCACTGCCGCCACCTGAATGCCACAAACATAAAAAAAACACCAGTGGTAGGAAAGCTATTAATCATCGCGAAGTGACTTTGCTGAAGCGCAAGCTCGCACTTCACACTGCGAGAAGATTACGTCTGAGCACATTGTTTTTATTGCTCGCCATCTCGGTTTAGTTAGATAGTCGACAGGACAATGAACAAACAATAAAAAAAGCTATGAAAAAGCTAGCATATGTTGAAAAGTATATGCGCACGTGAGTATAAAGACGATGCATTATGTTTACACAGGCTGTGCTCAGCTATAAGGGCTGAGCACAGCTTAAGTACGCATGATTCTGGGGCCACTAGCCCTATGGACAACAGTGATGCCAGGGAGTACTCAACCAGGGCAGGTTCAGCATGCTTAGTGTGCTTATTCAAAACACACTTTCTCTTGAAGGATATTTCATTCTTCAGTAAAACTGAACACGTGAGTCTCGTACATTTTCGCTCCCATGGAACAGTCAAGCAAAAAAATGTAGTCTTGATATTCCTCTGCGAATTCTTCAAGCATTCTGTGCACCTACGAGCGCATGTCACTGCTATGAAGCACGTAGATCAGGTTTGTAGCACCACTCAGCTGTATCAGTTAAAACTTGCCAAAGAGTATCAGTAATGATCAGTATATGCATGCGTATGCAGAATACTTGGAGATGATTTTAGCTACAATTACTGGTCATCTTTAGCATATGTGGTAAAATGCGCAGCTATCATCACTCAAGTAAATTGTCTCATTCGTTAGAAGAGCGAGAAATAACCAGAATTCTTTGATGCACAGAGTGCTATTATGAGCACATCTGGAGAAGTACAAAATGCAGTATTAGTGCTCATTCCGTGTATACCGAAGACTTCCACATGCTACCTAGTGTTGTGCGACGATAATATTGAGTAGATGTACGCTAGCAAAGGGGAAAAAGACACAAATATTTAGTAAATCTTTAGTTCAATAGATGTATAAACTTAAAGGTTATTTGCTTACAATGAACTCACTAGACAAAATGCAACTTTTCAAACAAAATATTTGCTTGTAACACTGCATCTTCCCTTAAAATCTAAATACACCGCTCTTGGCGCTGGAAGACGTTTTATAAGGGAGACAGCTGGCAGATAAAGAAAGAGATGGTGAAAGTTTCCGTGATGTTGCCACACTAACCCGATGTGAGACCACATATACTTTGACGCATACCACATCAATTTCCAGTAGAAAAAAAGAAACTACATTTTACTTTCTGGCAGACATGTAGTTGAACATCAAGTATCAAGTTAATTATTCAGAAAATATAGTTTCTTCAAGTACAAATAAAAACATGGCAATCTGTAGTGCCACAGTTGAGCTTTTGCGACGAAGTTTTGGTGCAAGAATGATAAATATACGGTCGATATCACTACATCCTTCATTATCAGGGTGCTTCAATAAAGTTCTTCGTATCCGCATGAGAACGGTTGGTTCGATGTTTTCAGTTGGTACCCACAAATCAGGGAAGATTTTTGGGAAGCTTACATCGCTTTGTGGCATATTTTTATATCTAAGAATTTATTGGGCCTGTAAAGCGTAAAAAATGACCAAATGAAAAGCATGAAGTATGTACTTGTTTGCTGAGGGTGATTTTGATAGAGCTTCATTATCGTTTGAGGATCACTGCACCAAACTTTTATCATTATCATCATCAGCCTGACTACGCCTACTGCAGGGCAAAAGCCTCTCCAATGATCTGTCAATCAACTCGGTCTTGTGCATTGCGTTGCCACGTTACACCCGCAAAATTTTCATCTCATCGACCCACCTAACTTTCTGTCTTCCCTTCGGGCGCTTGCCTTCTCTGTGAATCCAGTGACTTGCCCTTAATGACCTGCGGTTATCCTGCCTATGTGCTACGAGTCCGGGCCATGTCTATTTCTTTATCTTCATTTCAGCTATGATAGACTTAACCACGGTTTGTTCCCTGACTCTAGCTGCTCTCTTCTTGTCTTATAAGGTTAAACCTATCATTTTCTTTTTCATCGCTTACTGCGTTGTCTTCAATTTAAGCTGAACCTTCTGTGTAAGCCTCCAGGTTTCTGCTCCGTAGGTGAGTACTGGCAAGGTGCCGCTGTTATATACCGTCATCTTGTGGGTTAGTGGCAGATTACTACTAATGATTGAGAATGCCGAATACGATTCACCCCTTTCTTATTCTCCTAGTTATTGCACTCTCATGGTTCGGCTGCGCGGTTACTACCTGTCCTAAGTAAACACATTCCTTTACAACTTCCGGCGTCTCTCTACTATATATCGCAAAGTGCTGTTTTATGCGGAGACTGTTGCGCAGCATTTGAGTTTTGTGCATAAAAATTTCCAGACCTATTTTTTTTTTCTTTCCGTGTACAGTTCAGTAATTATGAGTTGTAATTTGTCCCCTAAGTACCTCATCAAGGCAATGTCATCAGCGAATCGCAGGTTACTAAGGTACTCTCCATTAACACTTATCCTTAACTCTTCCCTGTCTAGAGTGCTGAATACTTCCTATAAATACGCGGTGAATAGCATTGGAGAGGTCGTGTCTCGCTGCTTTACATCCTTGTTCATTGGAATCTGTCGCTTTCTTAATAGAGCACCCATTTAGGTTGACGTAAATAAGGATTACAGAACTTGTGGTCACACTCGTTATTCCGTAGTTGTTCTATTGCTACAATTTCCATGATCACCTACACATTGGCGTCCTTTAAGGAAACAACTATATGAATGCTGTACCTTCAAAAGTGCATTTCCTATTGAGCCACTCTCTAGACGCACTCGCTTGGTGCGTATAGACTGTAATTGTGCGAACAAGAAGTGGACATACTGTGGTCACTGCCGTCTCTGTCACTCTGTACAGTAACTTGTTTTGGCTTTCTAATGGGTCTTACACCATCCTCAATCAGCAAGCCATATATTTGGCTCTTCTAGGAAAGAAAAAAAACATCAATTACAATGAGAACACTAAAATGTACTCAGTTGAGTGCGATGAAAAAGTATTGAATGATCATACATTCACTTTCATTTTCCCTCATAATCTTCTTTGATCACCAGCGCAGATCAATGTTCTTGTTTTTGCAACTTTTCCGGTTACCTTTTTTTATACTGTTTTCCTACTCGTTCAACTTCAATGAGAGGAGCCACTGAAGCGGCAAAACTAGCATCATATGCTTAGAAAAATTTGAAACCAATGATAATTGTAATTTATGTGTCACTGGGGCAACTATTTTCACACTTTAATAACGTAATACACTGGCTCATATGTTTCCAGACATTGAAATAACAAGGCTTGCCTTGGCTAAAGCAGTCATGGTGACGAGAAGCATTGCCGCGTGGTGGTCTTAGTGTCTCACCGAATGGCTGCACATAGAAAGTATGGCTGTGGGTATTTTTAGACCGTGGTATAATTACCTAAATATGTTAACGACACTGCCCATTTCACGTGGGGGAGAGAGAATAATACGCAAAAACAAGTCTACAAAGGAAATGGTGTTATGTGAACATCCAACGAGTGCTCTTGTTGCCTTCGTCGCTGTTAGAGCCAAAGAGATTGCGAATCCCCGCATCTCTTTGAATGAATCACGAATCAACGCTATTACTTTAGTGCAACTTATATACCCGCTTAGTTGTGTAATTTTCATACGAACCAGGTGAAGAGTATCCAAATGATGAGTGACCATGTATTAAGTTTCTAAACCTCGTTAGGTTATCTTTGTCACTCGGCGCTCTATCGCATATACTCTATGACGATAATATAATCCGACAATATTTAAACCATGGGATGGATCAGCGAATTTGCCAATTAAAAAAAAGCGAGCAGTAATATACAATTTTCTTTTATTAGAGAATGCCCTTGCCGAAATATCAATTTTTGTCTACCACTTAAATTACTTAGTAAGGTGGTATAGCATAAATTTTTTTATGCTTTCTTATTTTTATGACAGGATTAGTTGTACGTGAAAAAAGGTCACAGCATATTTCTGCAGTTAGTTCATCAAACGACGTTGGATCTGAACGGAAATGTGGTCATTAAAGCTGTTGAGATTGCTGCTTGCTGTGACTACTCTCATTTTCAGTAATGCAGGTAAGTGATACAAATGGTGCGTTTATTTGAAAGACCAGAAATTTGTATTGCGTGTGTGTTTAAAAGCCCTGTTCGAAGCAATCGCAGGAATTAAACAGACCCACCCCATTCAAAGTTTTGATGAAGGATTGAGTTGATAATAAAAATAACAAAAGAAAAAAAACAGGTGTTTTCCGAAACAGCCAAGGTTTTCCAGGGCCCTCTTCTTCGGAACAAAATCACTTACCATGGGCTCGTCGAAAGCTTTTCTTATGCGTTTAGTGCGGAGCTTTTTTTCCTAAATCATTTCACAAGAACAATTATGCATACATAAATATTATTTATTTTAAATGCTAATGAACAGGTCTTCCTAAATGGCCATTCCAATGCAAGTTATGTGCGTTTCTTAGCGGCAAAATGCTTCGGCATAGACGGAAAGTTCTCCTGTGATGATGTGATATGTCTTACTCCTAAACGGTAAAGAACAAAGTGCTATGTGTACACTTTGAATTACAGGGTATATATACCTTTTTATTATAGCAGTTTAGTGGTTCGGGGACTGCTCTTCCACCCCCCAGTTATTCTAATGTGTCATCTTCCACAGATTCAGGTGTTTAACCCCTTACGCTAGCAAACATTGCTGTCATGTCAAACTTAAACTGCAGCTCAACCTATTTTTATTGATCTGTGCATGCAGGAAAGCGCTGGTTTTTATGTTTCTCAATTTCACGATTCACATAAGAAACAGTGCCGCTGTCTGTCTCCTTCTTTTCTTCACCCTCGTTATTGGCGCTTCTCTTTATGTGCATCTTGCCCAAGCAACCACGTTAGCTATGTTTAATTGCACGGCAACAATAATTAAGTTGGTGATGTAGCACCATTGCGGGCTTTAACAATAACTGATCAAAGTGCTCTCTAAGCAATAGACAATTGCGGTTTTTCTTTTTTGCCAGATAGTCTTGAAAGAAGCAGCCATTGTTACATACCACCCACCGTGGAAGGATGCAGCATTATACGGCGAAAGTGGAGCTTCGTGAACGCAACAGGGAAGCTGCGAATTGAACTTTGTGTGCTCCCAGCACAGCAATGCATTCCTAACAAAAGAGGAATGTGACCGCGTTTGCCAGCCTGGTAAGCATATCGCTTATTATCACGACGTCGGTTGCTGTTTACAAAAATTGTGGGCCAACCTACAGTCTCGCAGTAACTTTACAAATGGGTAATTATTATTACAAATGAGAAACTTGTGGATGTTAAACTCCTAAACAATATAGTCAGGCTAAAACTGTTAGTGCCAAGCATGAAGACAGTGCAGCTGAGTGGCCTTCCTTGGGTGTGTTTTTTTTTCTCTTTACTTTTGCCTATTTCCTGTATATGTTTTATTTCTTCTCAATTTCTTTTTTTTTGCACCTATTTATTTTCCTTTCGGTCTTGCTCTGCGTTTCTCCTACCCCCTTTTTATGTCTGTTTCTTAACTTTATTGCGTTTTTTCTCTGTATGTATGTCTTGCGGTCGTTTTTAGTGTTTAATTTCATTTCTATTCATTGGTCGTTTCAGTTTTTCTCTTTTTTTCGCTTTTTGTATTTTGATGAGTCTCTTCACTGAAAGCGCTAATATAATTAAAATTGTTGAGATTTTTCGCACCAATACTATATGCAATGAAATGAAGAACCGTACAGTATTGGAGGAGTATGAATTAATTGTCACCTGCAAGAGGTGTATCGAGCCCTCGTGTTCCACAAAACAAACTTGTGTGCGAAATATTGTTTGACATTTGTTTGGATGTAAGCTGCGCCACACTCCACTAGCTACATCACCACTGCTTGCCATTGCAAAGGCTACTAAGTCATTTTCTCAAACCATACGATGTACGACATATATATGCAATCTTAGAATAGAGTTAGCAAGCATGAAGTGGTAATGTGCGGAATATAAGGCCTGCAAAGCAGCCGCATCGTCCTTTACTTTAGAGTGCATTTGACCCTTGGAAAGTTCGAAACTTAATAATACAAAAAAAACAACCTGTCCATTTTTTGCTTTAGTCATAAATATAGTTCAACGCTAACAAGAATCACTGATGATTAAGAACTATCAACATAAAATTGTCTATAAATATAGTTTTAAGTTTATGCGTACATTGCTATTTTAGACGTTGACTATTCAGCCAGATATCACTAGAAGGGCGTTGTTTGGAAGTTGCGCTGGTGACCATCTTATGTCAATGGCCCTAATGCTAACTCTGTCTTGCAAGAGATCTAAGCAGTAATTCTGTGCACAATAAAGCAAGCATAGAAAAGCGCACATAAGCTCGCACTCAGTCACAATAGTACAATGTTGCAGATCATAAAATTTCTTTGGTGGTATTTGATATGAACCGCTCAGCTATTTTCAATAAACAACTTGACTTCGTTGTCTCATTCACATGATTATAAAAGACGTCGTAACAAAGACCTCCAAAAATGCCGACCACCTGAGGTAAATAATAAGTGCCTAGTGCTAGCACATTATCCTCTAGCATTTGAACTCCTTTAATCCCACGAAAATGCTGCCGCCGCGTAGTCCCATAACCTGCTGGTCAGAATTCAAGCAACGTCCTAATAAGACCTCTGTGGCTAGCATGATAAATTTGAACATGTCATAAACGAATGTACTACAAAAGCCAAGAAGTGTGAACAATTGGTAGCATTCAATTTACGTGTGTGTTCTCATTACAGTCGCAGGTCCCAAACAACCTCCAAGAGATTATTGCGCCTACTGGATTCAAAATTTGGATCAGTGCAGATTCAAACGCGAAACATTCTACCCTGACCGATTTGGACGAAGGCAGAGGGTTCTTCTGTTCAGATTCTGCGGCCCATCAAGCTGGAAATTGTTCGCTTACTACTTCCGCAGTGGCGAATGCGCAGGTAAGCAAGCATTCTGCAGATTCATTGTTGGGTGTGTGCCCTTGGTGAACCATTCGCGAACACTTCAAAATAAACAGTTCAGCTGCCTATTTCGGCTGTCTATTTTCAATGTTCCTGAATGATTCATGAACATTGCAAACAGACAGTGCAGCTTGCGCTTTACACCAACAACGTGGCTATATACACTGCGTGGGATAGTCCGCAAGATATTTGATATGCTCTAAAAATTTTACACCAGGAGATAGACGCCCCTTGGAGCAATATTGAATGTGGTTCAGGGCACAACTGCTGCACGGGTGGCTTCAGATCTTCACTTGAATCTTCTTATTCAGTGGTCACACTCAATTGAGGGGCAAATAGCATAAGGGCAAGAAGATAGAACACAAAATTTCTCTGCGTAGAATGTGTTGATGCCTGCTTTTGCCGCATGCCTGGGTTTATAGACCACTTCTCTCATGTTTAACTTTCTTTTTCGTATAGAGAGATTCAGAGTACACCTATTTATAGTCGGGTAACAATGCATTGACAATTGTGTAACGTAGTGAGAGCTTTCATAATACTGACACAACAATTACGCAGCCTTGCCGAAAGCCATCTTCTGTTGCACAATTTTAAGAGAATTATGGCATTTACTTCAAGAAAAAGCACAAGCTGAAATTCATTTGCTGATGCTTGAATGATTGCATGATCTACGAGATAAAGAATTTAGCTGATTATTGTTGGTCCAGTTGAAAAGTTAGGACAGACAATTGAGAGGTTTGGTCAATGCAGGACATGAAATATCAGGCACAGACTTTCACAGCATTGAATACAGACCGACCATTCGAAATGTTTTCATGCGATTGAAACCGTTGTCAACGAACCTTGCACAATTTCTAAAGCCGAGACTTACTTGAAAGTACAGCTGAATGAAAGTGGCAGTCACAACAATATCCAATATCCATTGCAAAATATCAAATGAGGCATGAGATACATTTGTATTTTTGAAGAAATTAACTTGGTACCATTGATAAATAACCTTAGCAAGCTCAAGCAGCTTCCCGTGAAAGATTTCTTGTGTCAGTAATGTTGACTTATGAGCTCTAGTGTAATTATTCAACAATAAATTGTTTGGAGGAAATCAATACACAATTTTTTCTGAAGTTCTAGCACTAACACTTGTTCTATAAACTCTAGCAGCACACTTTCGGCTTTCTTCAAGGACTATCTCTATGCAAAACAAGTGTTTTGTTGTTTCGCGATGTTGCTTCATAATCTCGAAGAGTGTCAAATATTGCTCCTTATTCTCTATTTACAGAAATTGTGTTGCGAAGCTGAATACCCATGACAAATGTACCGGTGACTCCTTTTCTTTTCGAATTTCTGTAGGCTTACCGAAACCCAGCATTTTTTCTTGCTAAAATAAAAAAATACGAACAGTCATAGGCCTTTGTTTTTTTTTCACGCATTTCTTGTAAAGCATGTTTTTTCAGATATTGCTGAAACAATAAAACGGTCCTCCAGTTCATTATCATAAGGTAGTTCCATGTTTCCTCTGCATTTCGCAAACTCCCACATATCACCTGCTTCTATAGAGAGCCGTTATTCGAGTATTTGAGTGACAGCTTTTTTTTTTTTTGATATGCGATGAATCTTTGGTTTTAGGTCGACTCGACATTTCTAAAATAAAACTCTTGAAGTGACTCGTAATTCCTTGTTGTGATTCACCCCATTGTAATAAAAAGGTTTTCGAAGTATAGTTTTTTAGTGAGCACTACAAAAATTGTATTATCGCGATCGCGTTGAAAGGCTGCCTTGCGGAAAATTTAGTGTCGTTGTCGGTGATTGGGTTATATGCAGTGTACAATAAATATGCGGTGTATATGGGAGAAATTTTAAGATAGATGTACCTAAATATATTGCTAGATAAATATTATATGAATAAATAATACACGAATAAATAAACAAACAAATAAATAAAGAAATACAGAAATTATTAAAGAAATAAAAATTTAATAATTAATAATAATTATTTATTCTATGGTACGAGACAGAGTGGGCCTCAGACCTGCTGCACGGGAAGCAGATGTTCTATCCCAGAGCCACGACTGTGCCTGAATTAACCTACTGAAAAGAAAAAAAAAAACAGTATATGAATGTCATATAGTAAACGTGCTCTTCTTAAGGCATGAAACATTTTGCTGCAGAAGCATGGAATCACATCATATGGCAACTGTGTGCATTGTACCGTTATTGAGCGGTTAGTGTTTAAGACTGCCCACTAACGCTATTACCATTTAAAATTACCCACCCATTCCGTAGTCCTAAGGCAAAATAAATTTAAATTTGCAGCAGTCGTACGAACTAATTGTGCAGGTGACAGGAGAGGTATAGTAAGTACTTCATAAATTTGCAGAAGAGTGAATTATTGCGCAGTAGGCTCTTTGTAACCGTTGTAGTAAAGTATAACGAGTTAGTGTGAGGCAGACTATGTTGCGCACAGAGACGTTCCTTTCCAGGCAGTGCGGTTGAAGATTCATAGGCACAGTGCGATATCTGCTTTCACACCTAAAGAACCACTCATGTGATTTGCGCTGCACACTGCGAATTCGAGAACGTGCCAGCGCGTTCCGTGTGGTTGGGTCATCGTCCACCGTGGGACTCAGAAACAGTAAGCTCTCACTAAAAATTATCGAAAATTGTTTTTTTTATATCTAGCTTGGACACATTCATGACGCCATCTGGTCTTATGCATAAATTGTCGCCTTTCGAGCTCTTGTGGAACACGCAGCTGAAGCAATTGCTCAATTTAAAAAATATTTCTCCTAAATTATATTGGTGCGGCGGGGCTTGTCAATACATTACAGCGTTTACCCTGCCATCCTAGTTATAAATCGTGTTTGATTCTTCTTCGTTCTTCAACCTTGTTGGTGTCCATTATGGCAAAATACACCATACCCCGAAAATCGCAAATCCTATTCTCAAGCTGTCTTGGGAGAGCCTGGAGGTACTAAAGACCCATATACACGCCTACATTACTGTATATTCAGATGAATTATTGCGGTGAGCGTTTGTTCAGAGATTGGACACGAGGATGGATACTTCAGTATACAGCACTCGTGATGCTTTGCGATTTACTTTTAGCATACGCACAATTGCCACAATGACGCACATGTTATCACGTATGCTTGTTTCGCCGTACAAGTACGTAACGCGGCCCTCACACAACGCCTTTATAAGTACAGAAAGTGTCAGGCAGTAGATGGGGAATAATCAAATGAATAATTTGTAGCTTGAGACCACGATCGCTGCCCGGAAACGTGCCTGCCTGGTTGCTACTTTCCGCAACATGCGTGATTTATTGTATCAAGAGAGGCCAAAGAGGAAAAGAAGCCTGCCTTGGTGGCACAGTTGTCATGGTGCACAGTCGCTTACCCGAAGGTCACAGGTCAACGCAGTGGTTGCAGTTTGGTATAGGCATAAAATGCTGCAGGCCAGTGTACCGTGCGACTTCAGTTCACGTTTAAAACCGCAAACTGCTCAAAATTTCATGCACGCTTCACTTCGGCGTGAATCATAATTATGTAGTGGCTCTGCCACGTAAAACTCATACTTTATAAAGAAGAAAGGCGAAAAGTAATTGAATTTTGCAGGCGAAGTGTATACGTATGATGGCATCTAATTTTACATATCCTCACGCATCACCAAATGTTTGACAAAAGCAGGTTGGACTTTGTTATGCACCATGGTAGCGTAATAGTAAATAATATACATATTGTTGAAGTGCAATGGACGTGCGTGTATTTTACATTTAAAGTGTAAATGCTTACAAACAACACCAAAGTCGTCGACGACGATGAAGTGTTCACCAAGCTGGTAACCTGCGCACATTCGTATTCCATGTTTATAAAGGCACACGCATTGTGTGTGTGTGTGTGTGTGTGTGTGTGTGTGTGTGGGTGTGTGCGTGTGTGTGTGTGTGTGTGTGTGCGTGCGTGCGTGTGTGTGTGTGTTCGTTTTCAGTGCGCTCTTACCGTTGATAAACATGAAGTATTGCTCAAATTACGCAAATCTGCGCCCACAATTTCTTGAAATGTGGCTCGAGGACCAGCATGGCAAAGACGGGCCGACCATCTTAGCGCACTGGATCACTCGAAGGGTATTCTTTAAAGAAATTGTGAGTACCATACAAAATGGGTCACTTGGTTTTGACCCGCCGGTACGTAAAGCGTTTAACGTGCCCGCGTTGATCTCCTCGTTACTGAATATTGTGCGTGCTTACTGTAGGAACCAATGTCAACGATGACTAACACACTGTATGCAGCTGACAAAACCAAACTATGATCACGTCGTCATCGTCTCGTACATGGAAACAAGTGCTGCATCCATCTACTGGGTGACGTGTGGTAAGAGTGGACACGTTACGTCACAGACAAAGACCCGCGTTTACAAGCAGTGTCCAGCTCCCAAATTGGCTACCAAGTATAGAATTAGCTCTGTAAAAAACAATCACGTACGATCGAATAAATTGTTGCATATCACCAGCGGTATCGAAGAATGTTTGGTTGGTAACAACCTTATTGGTATCCGGCAGAGCTTTCACCTATCGTGAATTGAGTCTTGCAAGTGGGAACGTTGAGGCCTTGCATTGAGGCCAGCCCGCCGGCCCGCTGGATGGCCCAAACTTGGTCGCATAGGCCGCGGCTGTGTGAGGCAGGGGCACACCGCATGCGAAGGATTCCGAAGTTAGTACATTGCAAGGTTTCGCTACAATCCTACAGCAAATTCGTTATTGTGGAGACCTCACTACGCCACACTGCACATATTTGTCGAGTATAAATGTATTAGCATCGAGTCTGTAAACAGTACGAGGTTGGGGGTACGTATGCGTCTGTAGTTGGTCCTAGGGCTGCCACCGGCGTGCTGTTTAGCCTATCGCTGGGTGGAGGATAGGTCCAGCGGGCCAGGTACAATACTTTGGTAATTTCATTGTAGCTCGTCAAACTATCTTTGGCCTTTCCCCATAGACAACGGTCGCCGGTACACTTCGCAAATGAGAGCGCCTTATCATGTGTCGTCTCTTTGATTAAATAAAACAGAAAATGAAGTGTTCCCATCTATTTTGAATACTTTACGGGACAATTTCGGTTGTGACAATGTGCTCACTTTTAAGATTTTTCGAATAGAGCAGCGTCATTGATGTGTTGCTCTTAAAAGCTTGCTGTATAATTGTCACAAAATAATTCATATATACAACATCAATATAGCTGTGATGCATCCAGGTGCAACGAAATTATTGAAGAATTGTGTGTCCCCGATAGCAAGAGGCATTGTCTTCATAGCTGCTCAAGAACTCTGGCAGTACTACGCAAGGAACACTTACACAGAATTATACTTGTACCCGGAGACAATAGACCAATTGTACAAAACATCTCATCCTATGAAAACACAGCAACCCTTCATAAGGTACTCTATGAGATCATCCACGCACGTGGAGAGTTTTCTATCGCCATGCGCAGGCAGCTATAGAGGTGAAACCTGTAGTCTTTTCGTTTGACATAATGTTAACCAGGGTTTTGAAACTTTGTTATATCAAGCTTGCCTCGATCGGAAGACGTGTTTTATTTACCATCGACATGAGTGGCAGAACGTGAAATAATGCGTACGTACGCAGGTACGTACGTGCCTACATGAAATAATGCTTTTTTTTCAAGCTAACTGCTATAAGTCAATGTTCTTTTTTTCATTGATTCCTACAAATCGCTTTCCCTGATTCATCAATGTTTTCTGGACATAGTACTGCCACGGATACACCATTATCTTTCTTAACAATCTACAAGTTGTTGTAGAGAAGGCCTCTAATCCACATGGCTCAAAAAGTACTGTGGAAAAACTTCCAAAGAAAGCCTGTTTCAGTGATTCATAGATATGCACAAGCTACCTGTGTCGCTCTATCGGCAAACTCTTGGACGTGTGGGAACCACCTGACGCCAGAATCACCAGATGGCTGCCCCAAAAAGATGTCATAAGCGTTTACTCTTTCGAAGTTTCGTGTTACAAATCTTTAACCATAGCTTACCTGAAAAATTAAGGCTGCCACGCAGTAAATATTCTCTACAGAAAATTTTTATTTTTCTACGTTGCTTTGTGTTCTACCGGTACTTGTAATATGATCTTGGTCATAATTTCACTGAAATAAATTGAGCATTTTTGCTCATAAGTGTATTCGCTCTCTATAGCGCATATCTGACATAAATTTTGATCTACAATACGTCTTTTCACCATGTGCCTGTAAATACGACTTATCAGGGATAGCAATCAAGTTTGGACGTTTTTATGTAATATGCGTCTTGCACTAGATATTTCTATTGACAACATCTCGTAAAGGGTTTGCGGACGGGGAGGGGCAATGTTAAGATAATTGCACCTTTCTTCTTACTCACGACCTTGACAAATAAACATGGCAGTTCAAGCATGAGCGCTAGTACGTTGAGCTTAGTGTCAACAGACTTCAGTATACACACGAGCTCATTTAAGACAAGTAGTAATGTCGATAGTTGAGATGATAAAACCAGAGGCTGCGAATATAAAGTGGAGCACTATCAGACTCACTTAAAAATTTAATCGAGCATTTAGGCCTCAATGCTACTCAGACATTGCAATATTTTCCTCAACCTGACTCACTCGCACTTCAGTCTCAATAACATTTCCCTCAGCTGCACTCACTCGGACTCAAGCTCAACAAGAAATATATTCACCCGAACTCCCTCAGACTCAGGACTCTCGAAATATTTCAGTGTGAGTGAGTCCGGTGAGTTTACTCACGAGCGAGTTCGACGACCTGTGAATGCGACAGGTCCCGGCAGGAATCAAAATCGTTACACACTGATCAAAAGTGGCACACTACAGGCACTGCATCACCATCGGAGCAGCACAGGAATTGATTTAATCTACGAAAGTACACTGTTTACGTTATAGCATTGCAAAAAAAAAACTTGCGCATGAAACTAATACAAGTGAATGAACAAGCTTGTTTTTTCTCTCATCAGCCCTAAGAACAATATTTACTAACTGCATGTCGCTTGCTCTTACCATTTGAATGCACAGATTGTAGGAGTTTTGTGTAAATGTTTTTTTTTTTGCAGCCTTGTAAACGACAAATGGCTAAGCTAGTTGAAGCGCATTCGGAATCAATCAAGCCAGGTGTGCTGACATGAACACAATAAAACGATCAAGAATTAGTTCTTTTATCCTGATATTTTTTTTTGTGGTCGTGTATCAGTGCCTGTCTTGTTTTACCATGAATACAATTGTATTCTTAATGTCTAATGTTTTACAGTTCAATATCGCGATAACATTCGAAAACACGCCGTACTGGAGAACTCCGACTGTTTCAATTGCCTGGCATCCTTTGAATGACCTCTCACCAACCCGTGTTCAAAGATGAAGTAGTGGTTTCCTCCTCACATTCGCTACCCATCCTACAAGTGATAGCTGATCCAAGCTGCTTAAGTTTTTTTTAATGTCACATGTGCAATGTTACCATAATACACTGAGTCAATCACGATTACGCACTTCTCGACTACACGCTATTATTTCTGCATGCACAGACGCAAACACACAAAATGAAGCCACATCAGTGGATTGCACATGATAGTCATACAAGAAAAGATAAAGAATGAGCGGCTACACGACAAAGCAGTATAGGAGAAAATGCACGTGTTATATTTCGCGTATATAATCTAATCGAGCATACGTGCTGTATGAACCTCACGGGAAATATTGTTCAAGTTGCAAGGGGTGCGCCAGAGAGACGGGAAGCGCCAAGAAGGAAGATGGCGCTTGTTTTTCATCTTTTCTCTGTTTTTTTTAATTTTCAGTGTCTAGCGACGTCACACACTACACGGGCCTCTGCCGAGTCCTCTCGTTCAAAATACAAGTACCGTGGCCGCAAATCAAGTTGCGTTGCATTCAGCTCAGCAGCTGATCACCGCACAATCAATATATATGCCACCATGGCAGACTGCGAATACAATTTCACACGTAAAAGTTGAAAAAATAATGAGAGAAAAGAATAGCAGATTGATGTGACTGCGTTGGAACTGTACGTACATGAATAGAGAGTGCTCACGCGTTTGATTGTAGCCATGGCCGGCACGTTTTGGTGGAGGCGAATTGGCGAAAATTCGTCTACTGAACGATACCAGTTCATATTGAAGGAGACGAATAGGACTGAATTTCGGCAGACCTCAACTTCATTGTTTCTCGTAGGCATATCGCTGTTTTGGGAAATAAAATTCCCGATATTGTTATTCCTAGTAGACAGTCTACTTAATGAATCTTCACAAAAAGCGGATGCCAAAATAATAAAACCTTGTATTGTTTTGGCCTGCTTGTAATGTCGTATTTTACGTTGGCCCTGCAATAATAACATGCGCAATGAAACCTTTATGCTTTCGTGTTCTGTTTACCACGTCAACGCAACAGAACAGTTTCCACCTCACAGACTTGTATATTGCGAAGCAAGCATAAAAAAAAATCCTGTTGAAGTTGGTGTCACTGCCGTAAACTGTGCAAAATGTATTGCAAACGCAGTGCAGAAAAAATATCGAACAAAGGATGTTGCGATGCGCTGCACAGCTTCTTTTCTTTTGATGTGCTGTTATTGTGTGTAGCGAATTCGTTTCGAGAGGAAATTTGAAGTGTTTTTTTTAAAGAAATAATGCTTTGAAATTAGCAGACCAACGTCGTATGCAGATACAGCTGCTGAAGACAATGCGGAGCAGACTCTCACGTTGGTGTCTGCTCAATCTTCTATACTTGTGAGCCACAGAAACCCGGGAAGTTCACTGTACGTATGATGTATTGAATCTGCGTTTCTTTATGGGGGCTATGGGATGAAGCATGTTGCCTCTCGCAATAAATAATACAGAAAGGCTCGGTGTAAAGAGCTCCATTATATGCAATGCTTTGCCAAGAAACATCCGCCTAGTACTATGTTTCGATCAAGATTATCATATTTGATGTTCTTCGCTCACGTCATAGCATCTGTTTTTGCAGTGGATGCTTCAAAAGGTAAGTGTCTAGAGTTCTAACTTAGTGAAAACTGGGAGTTTCCGACGAGCAAGTTTCTTTGGTGTGTGCTCATCTTGGTGGTCTCAAATCCACTGCACTTTTTTTAAGAAGCTGCAAAATGAGATATGTGAAGGAGGTGCACCCCATCATAGTTTAAAGAAATTATTGTGTCTCTTTTGCACACCTATAGCGTTGCACCTTATTATGACGCCATTTATTTGGTATACATCGCATGAAACTCGTAAATGATAGCATGAACATTGTCTAAATATCTGCGTCATCATCTTGGGCCTGTAATGATGTCCATACCTAGAAGTCATTTCTTATTGATTGGCAAACGTACGTGAACTTCATATACTTATTTCGAATCAGCCTATTTCATCGCCCCACCTGACTGTCTACCGTGTCAGTGTATGATTATTTTCAGCACCCACTTTATAATAATCGGTTTTGTTATTTTAGCACCCGACGCAGGGTAACGTTGGAGGAGCTTTCCACCGTCATTAAAAAGAACTAGTGGGGGGGGGGGGGGGGGTATTTCTAGGTTAGGAAAAAAAGAACGTAAATGTGAGCCGCGCAACTGTCTGCAGCTAAGTGCGACACCTCAGCAGTAGTTGACGAGGGAATAGGATAAGAGGGGATTCAATGGGATAAAGTGAGAAGTAAAGATTAAGAAAGAAAAAAAGATTGCAACACGGTCGAAGGAGTCCCAAGACGGGACACCACTCGGCGAGAGCTTCAAGGCGTCAGAAGATCACGAAGAGTGGGCCATTTAGCAAGATCTACGCTCGTATCAGAAATTGTGAAGTTACAACAGTTCGATACCGAATTCAGCCAGCGAGTATTCACTGTATAAATGTAAGGGCATTGTTGGGGTTAGCTACGACATTCCAGCAGCCTTATAGCGTTGTGAATCTCTTTTCTAGTGAAATCGTGTTATTAAATGTATACGTACTGTAGGACTTTCCTGTGCCTCTGTACAGAATGTAGAGTTCAGTTCAACTGGCTCGCCATAGCGTTCTGTCTGAGGCGAAAATGAGTATTAGGCTCTTAAATCTGTAGGCTACGGTTCCCAGAGGCAAGTTTTGATTTGAGGAGGAATAAGTTTACGAGCATAGAAATATGAATGAGTTGCATCATGCTCCCGAGTAGAATTCGACACACAGGGCTGACGAGTCTACTGAGAATAATTTATTGAGTAGGAGGTCTTGAATATAGAGGTTAGCTTCTGCGAGACCTCCGGACAATATTTGAACGTTAGGCGATGTAAAGCCGCAGCCGATTTACGCCAGCCACGGCCACAAGAAGCCGATGCTGACATCTATTGAGGCCAAACTTAATTACGGTGTATTTCAAGTATACAAGTAGTGCCATTGTTCTCGCTGAACAAAACCTGATACAAGGACCGGTTGATAATTGCCGGGGCTTTAGTCTGTCGCAGCGAGAAACTTAAACTGGGGTTTTTCTTTTATATGGGTATAGCACACCACGACAAAGACAAAAAAAGAAAGAAAGACACACACACACAGCGCTATACCCATATATATGATTAACCCCAACCAAGTAGCCCGGCAACGTGCCTTGGCGGTTTTTTAACCCTTTATATCTTTTGTTTTTAATATCATAACACACAGCGTTTCAAATCCAGCGTCGCATGTTTTTTACAAACGTAAGCTTTATGGTGAAGATGAGCAGCTGGGATTGCTTATGGGCCATAATACAGGACAGGAGAGGACTGTATTATGGAGAGGACGGTAATGAACTGTATTATGGAGAGGACGGTAAGGAGAGGACTGTAACAGGAGAGGACGGTAATGAAATTTCGGGACGGACTTGGGTAGACGATCATTCATAATTTCCTATTTTCCAGAGGATTCGCTGTTTAGCGGGAAAGCCTCACAAAACCCAATTATTGTTTTTGAACAAAACTGAATGGGCCCAGCATTTAAAGAAATCTTTTATGTGAACACTTTTCTGTGTTTACACCTTTGTTTATTGTTTTTTCTTTCTCGTTCTTTTCTCCTAACTTCCTTTTTTCTGCTTTTTCCTTTCCCAAAGAAACAAGTTGCCGTTGCGCCTATCCAGATGGCACTTTTCAGCCTGTTTTCCTCTGTAATTCTTCTGCGCCTTCAAGATTTTCGTATGTTGAAATACTACTACTACTACTACTACTACTACTACTACTACTACCACTACTACTACTACTACTAATAATAATAATATATAATAATAATAATAATAATGAAGGAGAGCGCTTGTCCTCACCTTTCTTTTGCATCCAGGCACATCAGTTCTTCTTGCTTCTCATCTTCATGGTGACTTGACCAGATCTCTACTAATTTCTTGTAAACATCTGGTACCGAATTTTTTTGCGAGTACTAAACATGTTACGCAGAGTGCAAAACTGAAAAGATATGGCGCGTACGAATTTCGTAAATATGGGTAATTGTAAGTTCGCCGACTGTCTTGCCAGTTATATTGACGTAGATCAGCCCTTGTGCGCACACGAAAGCGGACACGGTAGGTGATAACACAGGTTGTTGGTTATCGCGCTCGTTGGACGAGAATGGGTGGAGGGTGACGCTAACAGAGGCGCAGAAAATGCAACAAGAATGGCTGCGCGCGAACTAGTAATTGTATTTGTTGTGAAACGCCTCCTGCAGCAGCCTCACAAAAAACAAAAAAAAAACTAAAAGTAGCAGGGAAGAGGTTACATTGTAAGCTACCAAACGTATCCCATTGTAAACTGCCTGTTTCGTACAAGCTGTTGAAGTACCACTATTACGTGTTTTAATACAAAGACTCTGAATGGTTGGTTGAAGTAAACGTCTCTGGTCAGCTGAAAATTACGGAATTTCACTTTTTGTATTGTATTCCCTTTTTTTGCCCTCTCTCTCTCTCCATCTCTGTTTTTACAAAACTTGTATTTCATGTTTCTTTTATTGTTTTTATGAATGAATTGATTGATAGGAAGTAATGATGTTATCATTGAACGGTTACGCTGCACCTTATTTGTCAATCCCCCAGAGCACGTGTGTGCCATAAAATAATAAGGTCGAATCATATCAGATCAAAATGTGATAAGCCCAAGTAGAGTGAAACAACTAATAAATATGCTGCGCGCAGCAATGTTGTGAAGTGTTCTTAAATTCGCTAGTTTTCGCAAGGGCTGGAACACCTCGAACGTGTCACTATTATGTGCCTATAGGTCCCCCTTTTCCTCTCCCATCACACCTACGCAGCAGAATGCTTCGAAACCCATGTAAAACTTTTACTAACTAAACTAAATGGACCGTTATTTTAGAGGTGATTATTGCAGATCGCTTCTTTTCTCACTTTAATTTGCACTCAGTGTTTGTTCACACTTTGCAACCATTTTGCTAGGAAATATAGTTTTGGGGATATATTATGGCACCTGTGTTCCCAGCTATTCTTCTCAACGTAGTATTTATTCGCTAACAAACTATCAAATATTTTTGACTACCTTGATTTATCCAGGTGCCTCAGCATTGAATCCAAGATGCCTCGTGGAAGCCACGGTAGAAGACTGTGAGACAATTTTGCTAAGCTTTAGCTATAGCAATGAGACAAAAACATGCGAAAAGGGCTTTGTCTGCTCCAACTGCAAAAACAGATTTGAGACTGAACTTGAATGTATGACTGCGTGCCCGAAGGGTAAGTATACTCTTAGAATATGGATTTCACTGTGTAGACTTTAAAAAGTGGACAGAAAGAGACACGCATGGATTTTTTCTTTTATCTACCAATTAGCACCGGTATAAAACTTGCACAAATGTTGGGTACAGCTAGCTTGTGTAAATACATATAATCTATGCAATTGGCACGGGTTATGTATGCTTCGTTAAGGTGAGATATCTTCAGCAAGATCAATTTTGAGTATATTTGTAGATCTTGCAAGATGTGGTACTTATTCTTTCGCAATGAAATTTTCAATATCTCTTCGTCCTATAACACATGCCGTCCCGTGACAATTTCGCCCAAGCACTGTGTGTTTCATTGCAGTAGAAAGGCGAAATTTCCAGTGCTTCATATACTGGTAAATGTAGGCGAAGTGTAATGCCGTTACTTCAGTAGTACACAATATATGCGTTTCGACTCGATCTTGAATTATATATACCCATGTTTTAAAAACTTGCTGGCCAGATGTTCGACCAGCTTCGCCAGAAACGTCAAGCCGATGCTACCATTCGCAATAGGTGCCTTCAACAATGTCTAATGCTTGTAAAAGCGTCTCAAACCCTGTGTTTTGACAGCTACTTAGCCACACGAACAAAGCGATGCGAAAGCACAAATGCTCATTTATCAAAACAATTGTACTGTAGTGGACGTAAACAAGTTATGCTACTGAATTTTGCAGTGTTTTAGAGAAGTGGCCGCTCTTAAAGAGACTGACAACAATGGTCACCTCTTGCGTACTCAAAAATTGTCAGGGTGTGGTTAATAAAGTATTCGCTAAGAAAGATAGAATCGGCGGAAACAAAACAACTAAGATTTCTTTGTTTTCAGCACTTAGTTTGCCTTCTTTGAAAGGTGTAACGTAGGCTGTAGTTAAATTGTTCAGTCATAGACAGGTACGAGGTGTATTCCACAAGGATTCAAAAGGACTGTCTTCTGTAGGCTTACGTTGTCTCAATATATCTGTATTTAATTTCCACTTGAGTGGATAGTGCGAGGTGACAATTAGTTTTCAAAAAATAAATTTTAACAAAAAAGGAATAGCAATAAGTGTCACTAGAAAACAAAAGCCATTCAAAGAATAAACGGAGATTAAATAAAACAATTATTCTTAACAAATGGGTCAATAAAGGTAGACCTTCTAGACCAGAATATTGTTTGCTCTTGCCACTGAACTAGCTCACTCGAGCAGGGCCTGCTTCTGCACTGCGCCAGGCCTTGAGCAGGTCGCCACTCACTCCACAATCGTAGAACTTTTGTTGATCAATACACTGGGATTGGTTTGACGCTTCTAGACCTAATGAAATAAAGGGGCTGTGTCGGAGCAGAAGTTATACGAACGACGATACCCCAAAGGATCTATCATGGACAATGCATGAGGAGTTGGAATGGATTATGATTGTAATCATCCACACATAACTTCCGCTGTCTCATCTAATTTAGGATCAAGTAGGGGTGGAGTGCGTGCACTCCGCCTGTCTTGAAGAATGATAGGTAATGAGTGGCTGGGAGTCGTCCTGGTCCACGAAAAGTTACGCTGCGGTAGAAGCTGTGCAGGCCGACGTATAGGAGATCCTGGATGGACGAATGGCCCAGAGTTTGCTTTGAATTCACAACCATGCTAACAGTCCGAAAGATACATTTTACTATCCTTGGGGTCACGATTAGAGGGGAAGAGAAAGAGCCCAGAGGATATAACGGAGCTGTTAGTAGCTCTTTTGTGTTTAATTATTCCCAGAAACGTTGTGTTTTAGGCTCAGTCAATTTTGAGTGGTAGTTAACCTGGTCACGAACGTCTGTGAACAAATTTGCTTCTTCATAGTATGAGTATAGAGGGGCGTTTGTAATATTATTATACCTTTGCAATTTTCACCCTAGGGTGATTTTCAGGATGATCCGAGCTTTTCGGGCTAATAAGTTTGCTTCGAGCTAGCTCCACGGCGTCCATGTCATGAGGACAGCGCGCAGCACGTGATAGCAGCGTTGATAAAAACGGTTAGAAGAACACGCGGGGCATTGGAAATGCATGTGCGATATTTGCGATGGTTATAACAGAAACATCGGGTGCGAAAACATCTGCGCCGCCACTCGGTGACCATTTCTACAGTGCTGCGACGTCAGCGTGATTGTTGCGCTATCTTTTTGCCAACTCAATGCGCACCTCCCGCAGGCGTGTTTGTGGGCGCTTGCCCTCCTTAGGGCAGGTTCTTTCGTTCCACCTGCAGAATGAAAATTTTCACTCTCGAATGCAGTGCGTGCACAAGCAGCTCTCAGATGTTGCTCGTTTCTCTTCTATGAAAGATTGCAGATAAATATAAGAACAAGTAAGTGGTCACTAGGGGCACTCGCATCACGGCGGCAACGTGGCTGTGCGTGAATAAGTCGTGAGTGCGGTGATACTGAATGAGAGCCATCGTTGCCACGTGATGATAACATTTTCACCAGGCCCTGAAAACTCACCGCTAGTATTGGCTTCAAGGAACATGCACGCCCGTAGTGGTTGCTGGGCATCCTGAGATCCGGTTGAACGGAGTGAATTTGATGTTAATGTTCGCATTTTAGGCTTTCACAAGTGTTTACAAACAGAAAAATTCAATACTCCTGTAAAAAACTTCTCTTTTATTGTTTATATGCCTCTTCCTATTAATTGTTTCTTTTACTTAAAACAGGCGAAGCGAGAGACGTGATTGACGTGTTTTTAGCACTTGCCTCCACTTCTCGCTCAGCTATATTAGAAGTTGGATCGCGCTCAGCTATCTTGCTCGGTACGCGTGTCAACTACGGGAAAGATAAAGACAGTAAGTTGTGGCGGGCAGGGAATGGAAGTCAAAGTGAGCTATGCCGAAAAATTCCGCCATGCATTCGTCGTATATAGCTCAATCAGGCAACACATCTTTTCCGTGGCTCTGTGGTGTGACAACTTGGTGATTTCAAGGTCCGCAAAAGTCTTCAGCGTTTCGTAAAGGCAACGGGTGAGCTCAAAGGTTTGAACCTATGGGTAGGTATTGATTTTGCATTAGCTCATGAGTAAACAAATTCTTAGCAAGCCTGACTGTACTGACAAAAGGGCAGTGTCGCTTGACTTATTGGTGCAGACGGCTGCCAAGCTCTCGTGGAGAAAAATCATTTTTTGAAAGGTTTGAATTCGAGTTGATTTGGCTAGATAGTTCTAGTTTTTTTAATTTTTGGTGTGTAGTTCAATTGATGTCAAGTAATTATAGGCCGCTTCCTGCGCATGAATTTTTTTCACTCATGGTTTTGAAGATCTGCCAGCCTTTACTTCAAATAGTGTCACTTAAGTAGACGTGATGGAATAAACGCCGTCAAGAACTATTACAGAGAATGTAGATGGACCCAACATTTTGACAAGTCAACTTTTCTTCATCAAGGCAACGCTGTTGTCCTGACGAAGAGAGGTCACCTTGCCGAAACACTGTTACCGTTGACGTTCTTGCTCAGAAACCCTCTGATCGCTTAAAGCCGCAGAGTGCCTCTTAACTTAAGTCTCGTTTGGTACTAAAGTTCTGTACTAAAGCTATACGAGCCGTCATAGCAAACGTGATTGAGTCAAATACTGCGTCTACTACTCGTCATTGTCGATAATGTTTGCAATGGTTCGGATATTGTCATAGCAAGTTTTGGCCTAACTGGCCGAATACTGAGCCCAGCCAAATAGCAAATAAGCCAGGCGCATGTGCTCAACTGCTAGCAGACGATCAAGAAGGTGAAGAGGGATCTCACTATCCGAGTAACACAATATATTGTGCATCATTAACATGCGGTCTATAGGGGCTTTGCTGTGCTAGCGATGTCGGAAGACGCTCGGCTGGAACTAATCTCAGAGGCTATCATGCTGAATATTCTAATGCTGCCTTTGTGCAGACATCAAAAGCTTCCAAATAAAATTAAACATTCCGTGCCTCCAAAAAATATTGTCAAGAAAAGTTTTTGAATCATCTATTGCATGGGTGCCCTTCTACACTCAGTGGAACGACAAACACTCGAAGGAAGATGCCCCTGGTTTGAAAACATGCCTAAGTTTGTCGACCATCCGTGACTTGGTGCCGGGTTTTATCATAAACAATGAAACGCAGTGCTCTCAGGGGTAGATCTGACTTTTTCGTACAGTTGGCTCATTAGAAAGGGGGTGTGGCCAAAGCTCAGGAAGATCCCCAGTTTTGCCGAAATCAGGTGATCCTGTTTTTTATAGGCTAATTGATCTTCTTTCTGAACACATAAAAATGGAGGCAATTAAAACATCTGTATTAAAAATTACGCCATCTCCCGCTAAAGGGCACCATAAGTAGTTCTGAAGCAGTAGTCCCAAACTCTTACTCTACTTGCGGCGATGACGCTAGCGCTCATTGCGGTGCTGCGTACGAGAGAAAGCTAGGTAGGCACAAAGCACTCAGTGATAGACTGGTGTTTTCTACGGGAACATGCCATCGCTGCTGATGGGCAATCAGAGACAGAAGACTCCGATCGGAGAGAGACTCGCACTCCGCTTTTAGTTAACGCGTGCGCTGCAACTTTTTACCCTTAAACGAAGCACAGAAAAAAATATCTCACCGGCACAACTTTGGAGTACAGGATCTAAGACATGTATACAAGGTTTGCCCAGCGAATGGTTGTGCAGCGTGGTTAAGAAATTCGCTAGCAGACGCTGCCTGCATTGACCTTGCGAGGTGAGAAGAGATATCGTGAGAGAAGAGGGAGGAAGAGACGCTTATGCGCAGTAAGAATGGTCCCGCTGCACACCTGATTGAACCCCCTCTACGATGCTTCACATCTGAAACATCTGTCTTGGTCAAACTTTTTCGGGTCGTTTCAACGAACTGCAGAATTATATTCGGGTAAAACTGTCACATCATAAGTATTGGAACAACAGTCAAAATTTAACTGCCGTGCTTACAGATTGTGTTCGCTACAACTAACCAAAACATAACAGTTGCGAAGTTAAGCCCTCGTTTGGCCCAGTTCGAAAAAGCTTTTTTTTTTCTTTTTTTATGACCACATGGCCCCGCCGTGGTGTCTAGTGGCTAAGGTGCTCGGCTGCTCGAATCCCGGCTGCGGCGGCTGCATTTCCAATGGAGGCGGAAATGTTGTAGGCCCATGTGGTCAGATTTTGAGACACGTTGAAGAACCCAATGTGGCCGTAATTTCCGGAGCCCTCACCCACGGCCTCTCTCATATTCATATAGGACGTTTGAGGCGTTCAACTCCACATATCAATCAATATCAGTTACGACCGCGTGTATTCAGGAGCAGCTGCAATCGTTTTTTTTTTTAGACGTATTGTGTGCTCGTGATTGTGTGTACCTTCTCATCTTTCTGCAACCTCTTTTCTCCCCTTCATCCCTTCCCAAGTGCAAAGTAGCAAACCGGATGTGTATCTGGCTAACCTCCCTGCCTTTCTTTGCATCTTTACCTCTCTATATTGTCACGTAGCAGTGACGGCAGTTCAGGTAGCAAGAGATTGAAAGACTCATAAAAGAAAGAAAAAAAATTCTCTTTATTAAGAACCCTTGCGCCCTCTAAATCAACTGTAAAACTAAGCAGCGGTGCATCGTAGCAGAACACCGACAAGGACATTGTCAATACAAAATAATGCACGCTGTCGGCTCCCGCACTCAAACCAAAGACGACATAGAATATTTAAGACACACCCTCTGAAGCATCTGCTGGATTCGGTGATGATCGCGAACTGTCTTCAAACCAGTTTGGGGGGCCACGATTAATTGAGATAAACTAAACATGTTTCGCATCAAGAACAGAAATGATAAGGCTGCACGCAGATGGTTGTCGGCATGCACAAAACAAACAGTAAAATGCTTTGCGGCACTGTATCTCCTGTAATCCACCTGTAGCTGCTGGCAAATTCAAGACCCCTGGACACCCGCTTGCGTGAATTTCGCGGAAAAGTTTTTTCAACGTGCATGCTGTATGTGGGCGTCACAGTGGAGCCTTATCGGTGTCTTTGATGCCTGCTTTTCGGCGGTCATTCCTTCAACATATCAATAAATTTTTTGCGTTGTTGGTCTAGGTCCGTCAGACAACCATGGACAGCATAAGAAAAAATAAAAAAAAATGATACACGTTCTTACGCCCACCGTTATATTTTATTGTTGCGTTCTACGAGCCTCGAGCCCCTCACGTCTTAACTATGCTTGACTGTTCTTCGTTGTGTACTTCCAAAATAGAACGGTGGTTGAACATTGCCAAGCAAGTCCTGACGATGAAACTAGTTCGTATGTCGGACACGAAGAACGAGTTCCAACTTTTGCGGAGTTCAAAAGGGGGTACCAGTTGACACTTATTTATTCTGGGCCTTATTTTTTATCCATACTGTTAGTTCGACAGTTTTAATTTGGAGCTTATGAAGTGCTGCGGTTGTGGTTCTCTGTGCAAGAAAATTAACTGTATTGGCATGTTGTCGGGATGGTAAAGAAAAGGAGGACGCTATTGGGAGGACTGGGCGACCTTGAGCCCCAGTCCGACTCAGTGTTCAAGCAACACTAGTTGCGTGGTGGTAACGACGAGCACGTGCGTTCGACATCGACTAAGCTGCACGCCTAGCCAAATGCGCCTGCCTTTCAAGATGTCTAGTCAAACCTAGATTTATTATCACTGGTGTCTTTAAAATAAATTTCATTACTCGTGCTTAGCGCGTAATACTGAGAGAACCATGTCAAGCAGTGACGAAGTGTTCGAAAATCGCGTCGCGGCTTCCGCTGAGTGGTGGTGACAAGTCTCTCCGGGTGGAGCCTGGTCGAAATAGATTGAAATAACCACGCCAAGAAGTTGTTCTTTGAGCATCTGAAGCACAGTACCCTTACGTAGCATTCGATAGACAAAGTTGAACATGCCACATATGTTACACAGGTATTACTAGCACAAAATCTGCAGTTAAACGTGTCTGTAGAATGGCTGGTTCTCTTTTATTGTTTTATGAGGACACAATTTTTCAGATTTGATTATCATCAAAGTGTAAACCGCTAAAGGTGAAGTTTGAATTCGTATAATACACGAAGCAAATTGCTGACTTTGATTCTTTTGAGGGCATTATATTTTATTAACAAAATCAAACTTAACGCTAACGTACCGGCATCTTTCACTGTTCAGAGTATAACAAGAACAAGTTTCTGTCGCAGTAAAGAAACTTGTAACGAAAAACTGTTTTTAATTTGGCAACAAACAGACAACAGGTTTGTCTTCCTTCTTGACAATAATATGTGCTGCAGGGATCTGCATGGTATGTTCATCAAAAACTTTCATTAAAAGCTTTTGGTGGGACTGTTCACATACAATTAGAGAATGTCAATTGCGACACTAGCAGTTGTTTTGCCATTAGATATCACAATATAAGAATTTTTAAAGCCGTCTTTAAAAGCAGTACATGAGTTTGGCCTGCGCGTGTTCTTTGCCCTTGGCGAGTTCTTTGTACCCGAGTGCCGAGTGACGGACTCTTCGTGAGCAACATTTTTGTTTCTGCTGGTGCTTTCTTGTTTAGGTACTTAGATTTAAAGTGTGCGAAAGAATCCCGCGATCTCTATGATGTCATGGATAATGAAAGGGCGAATATTCATGGCTTATCGTTAAAACAGTGAAACATTCGTCCACACATAATAAAGACTTCACACGTTAATATATGTGTTTTTATGTGCACCTATATACATGGTGGTATTTGCATATCTTTGTGGTCATATACACTTATACACGCAAGCTATAATCAATTTGTATTGATGAAGCTATATAAAAAGATTACATTACTGATCTAACAACTGTGGAGCGTGTTTTCCTCTGAAGATTACAATTTTGTGTTCGGTAAAGTACGTGGCGAGAGGATCTTCGATGAGTGGTTGTAGTGGAATGTTGAAGAAGGCATGCCGATACAGGTCCTTTTGATAGTGGTGAGATGCTTATGGTCGTACGAGCTGCCCCGAAGGCCTTAACGAGACATCCTCTGTGGTAGTAGCCGGCAGTCGACAACGACCATGATGTCTACGTTGGAGTCTACGACGAGCACGAATAGACCGTGTTGCGAATTGGTTCTGTAACGATGTATTGCCTTCTTGGTGTAAGTGATGACGTCTATCTTGGATAGGTTCAGCGCGACGCAAATGGCCATGATGTCCATTACGTTGGAGAGCTTCACGGCTGTGTGCTCCCTGTTGTGACTCTGGTTGTTCAGGGGTAGTTGGAGGTCTTCGGCCGTTTCGGGCACCTTTACTTACATACCGGCACGTCTCGCAGAACGCTCTGTATAAACGATACCCACAATCGCGTCATGGGCTTTGATGTGCAAGTTTCCCGCGTTGTATGTCTCCGTGAAGCAGTACACGTTTTCTGTGGTCAGTGCGAGAGCGTGTTTGAAGTCTTTCGCATAGACGTCGAGAGGGAAACGTTGAGCAGGGCCAACGTGAATTCTCTCGGGTGGTCCCGCTGATGAAAAAGAAAGCGTTCAAAAAGCGCTAGCGCTCGCCTTAAGAACTGGTGGGCATGGCGAGACGAGAGACTTAGCCCGAGCTAGAGGAGCTTCACCGTTGAAAAATAATTACTCGTGCCTCCTTTACTTGGTAAATACTACAATTAGCGTAAAAAAGCATGACTTGTGTCACTGACAGGTCACACATTCGAAGACGTGAAATCCTCGTGAGCAACGTCTGGATTATAATTAGAACAATCACGTTTGCCCCAAAATCAGATTAATTAGATGGATATAAACCAGATAAGTGATTAAGAAAAACACTAATAATGGCGTAATTATTTCACATACATCTATAAGTGCAAAAAAGAACAAAATAAAGGAATAAAGGAATGGCATGTTGGCTTAAGACCCGCATTTCGTGCTGGTGAAACCCCAGGAACTGAACTTCAACATTATTGGCGCCTTGATTGATTTCTGTTAGGTTAGGTATAGGTAGAATATTTCATAATTCATGTGGTTTTTGTCTAAGCACATTTACACGTTTCATAATAAACGCAGAAGTGCGGCTACTTGACGGGGACATGAGCACCATTTTTTGCGTTCTTCTCTTGTAGAGCCTGGGAAGAGAGGAAAAGGAAGAAAGCGGGGCAACTGCAGGTATTGGCTGCTCTATGGTGGACGCTGTCAACAAAGCTGGATGGAATTTAGAAAAAACAAACAAGGAATAAGGCGCCGACTGCTCTTCTACACTGGCTGTAGGGCCGATTGGGGAATTTTGTACGTATATGATTTTCTGCGAAAGAAATGCCATGGTGAGTACGAAAACTACATTTTTGTCTGCATTGAAGTAAGACTTGCCCGAGGAATCCCTATTGGTACTTTTTATTCGACCCGAGCTGTTGACTGAAGATAAAGGGCTGGTTAACTGAACCTCTCGTTTATCACATGTACAACACTGCTTCTGTCGGCAAAAGAACTTCTGAATGAATGCTGCGTGTTCTAATGGGAATTTTCTCGATCAGTAGTTACTAGGTGTGCCATTAGGTTCACCTATAGTGTTCTTTAAGGAAGGTATGGATTCTCGTCATGATAAACTACAACTTTACTAACATGTTTCGCTTCCAAAAAATATATTTTAAATATATGAAGACTTACTAATGGGCATATCACATAATCAGGCTAGCAACCAAAATTAGAAAGACAGGCATCTGGTTTTATTCTTTGGACAGTCAGAGGAAACTGAAAGAATGTCAGTAGACCTGAAGGGTCCTTACTTTATGCTCATTAGCGTTCATTGTGCTCGCACGCACAAACAGCCATTTCTTTTGAGTGTATATTAACCACGTTAAGTATGAGTGAAATTGTGTTCTCAACGTTATCGTCACAGCCATAGAACGAGTGTAATATGGATAAGGCATTACTCGCCAGAGTCGAAGGAAAATGTAAACGTCAAATGGAAACAAAAATATTGCTACTTCAACACGCACTTCTAAAATAAAAGGCCTAAAAAGAAAAGCGGGTTCCTGTGAATGTAGCGCATTTGATGCTGCAAACAAGTATAAATTAATTAAGGGCCCTTGCGAAAAAAACTACCTCTGATTCTGGCCATGCCGCCGAATTCTTTGCAGTGGTAAAGCACGGTGAGCTAGTTGGTACGAATGCAGTGTGGAATTTCCTGCGTCCCTCACCTGTGTCCTGTCTTATTCGCGCTTTTCAACGCTGAATTCTCTGCGCTTTGCTAAGGTCGGAATGTGCAGCTGTCTTTAAGTAAACTAATTATGCTGTCTTTCTATATGCAATACTATGTAACTCAACATCCCACATAATTCTGGGTAGCTTATTCACGTGAACAATTGAGAAAAAAAGTTATCATTCTGTTACACTCTTTATAGCACAAGAAGACGGAAGCCGTCTATTGCATCGGTAATACACTCCAGGACTAGACTGCTCGCATGAATTTGAAATCACGAGCCACAGTGTGGCACACAATCATTATGTTACCTTGACTCTCTAAGTCGCTTACACTGTGTCACTGTCCTCCCTACTTTTTATAGAAAGTTTCTGCATCTCACAGGATACCACTGCATCCTATTATGATATACTCGAGGTGTCATAAAATTTGAAAAACGACATGCACCTTGCACCTGAAAAGCAACTGACAATGTCCACACGCTATGACGTAAACAAAAAAAATGTCAGCCCAGCCTCCGCAGACAGAAATTATTCTTCAAGTAATCACCATTACAGTGGTTTAACAAGCTTCTGTCATTGTCATGTGCGGGCGAACTAAGAAGTGTGGTGTCGTCGTTTCCGTTTCCTTCAACTCACCGACTGAGCTGTCTTCCTTTCACGCGATTAGCTTCTAGTTGAATCCCGTTTGTTGCTCTCAATGATCAGTGGTTTTCTATCTTACACGCTTCTTTCCAGAAAAATGTAGACAAACTTTTCGCTGTAATGATATTTAGCTAAGCCTTGTGTTTCAGCTTTTCGAAGACGAACAAAACATATTCATCAGGGCTACCTGTGGCTATCATAGCCATCATCCAAAATTATTTTTTTATTGTGGAATGCCAAATATTATGCAAACGCGATATGCAGAAACAGGCCACTGTGATTTGTTAACCCACAAGTCTACGTATTCCCATTTTGAAATGTTTAGTGGTGTTCTTGAATGACTAAGGCTTTTAATGCTGTCGGATGACTTTCATTGATGTTTTACTTTTAGCTGTGAAGGTTAAGCAGAATGGAGACATCTTGAACGAAGATATCGAAGGGACCAAAGCAACGCCTCTCAAAGGACAAGCATCTATTCCGCAAGTTCGGGAATATCAAACAACGCTCCCTCTTCAAACCATAGACGAAACGAATAATTTGGAGTCTCAGCACAAGTTATAACACACAATAAACGGCCCGTAGTTTACTGCTGTGTCATTCATGCATTGTATCGTATGCCACGTAGGTTGTACCCAGTGTTACTGTATATGCTACCTTTAGGTAGCAGAGTTGTGCCAACGCACGCTATCTTGGGTTCAAATGTCTTGCGAGAAAGCCACTCACCCCCCACGTGGGAGCAGCGCTCGCGCTTCCGAATACTAGCGCTGCTTTATTTTTTCTTGCTTTCTTTTCTTCATATTTTTATGAAGGTACGAAGAAAACTCAGTGTGTCTGGTCAAGCCTTGAAGCGTTGAATTTATGTTTACATATTTGGTGTGTAATAATAAAAAAAGTGCGTCAGCTCGTTGAACCAGTGATACATGTGTATATTTATAGTAGGCCACACATTAGCTTCGGCTTCCTTTGCACTGTTTTTCCAATTTACATATGTGAAATTATTTTTCACTTTTGATCGCTATCGAGCCAGTTAGGGATGAAATATTTTCACTGCATTAGGCTCATTAGTTAACTGTGTGAGTTAACCAGCGATAGCTTTGTAGTCTTCAACTGAATGGAGCTGTATAACAGCGATCAAGAGTGGCCGTGAAACGCCCGTTTGCGCGGACGTCGTATTTCGATCGTATTTCAATTGCGGCTCAGGACAATTGATGTGAATCGTTGTTCAACAACCCTGTCGTGTCCGACATTCTTTTCTCTTAAGGTTTCAAAGCTGCATTCAATTCACAGACTAGCAGCAACACCTTGCTGATTCAAATAGTTCTAGTTTAACTTCTCCCTTTATTTTTAGTGTTTCAACCGCCAGACCTGTTTAACGTATGCCTCTGACACAAGCTGCCCAACTCTTCATGTATGACGTATTCACTACTGCATCTGTGATTAATACAAATAGAGGAAGTCTTGCATCGCCATTGACCAATTCAAAAAAAAAAAAAGCTCAGCGCATGGCCATCAGCCGAGAAGTGGAAAAGGGGCACTTGCCCACCTCAAAGCCACAACAGCACTTGCTTTCTCCCAAGCTAGACCAGTGCTCTAACCCTTCCTAAGCCGCAGTCCAACAATGGTTTGCTCTTTCTGTCCTTGTCTCTTCTTCTGTACTTACGTCGTAACTACTCGTAGTGTTGCGCAGTGCAAATATGTTGATTCCCAATCACCAACTAGCCAAAGCATCTGTCTTATCAGGTTTGCACCCTCAATAGAAAATCCTGCCGACGACATTGGCCAAGCGTTTATTTCTTCCGACAGAACACTAATCTTTCTATAGCAACACTCACTGCGCCCGCGTCTAATCGCATGGGCTCTGCGTAGCAGAATTCAACATAGAATGCATTTGCTGCCGCATTTCTCGTGACCAACAGGCAGCATGGCTATATTACCGAAAAAGCGCGGCGTGAATGACAACAGCCGTTGTCAACCCCCCTTGATCTGCCCGGACTCTGCGTAGCGTTGGCTTCTTCGTAGTGCAAACGAACGACATACTACCACGTGATAGCGCTCAGCGAATAGAGGCTCTGAACTCCTGTAGGCGGAACGAGCGGCGCCCAGAAAACAGTGGCTCTGCCACTGTTAGGCAGCAGAAAACTCTGCTACCTGAAGGTAGCATATACAGTAACTCTAGTTGCACCTATATGAATGACATCACACATCGCAGAGTTTAAAATAATATACCTCATTACTGTAAACTATTTTTCTCGCAATACCAGGCTCTTATGAAACTTTTTTACTCCTTTTTTCACTTGTGTAAACTATACAATATTACATGTTATTTCACATAAACTATGCATGAATTATTTTGCTTTACAACATTCCTTGGTATACCTATCGTATATAATGAAGAAATTATAGTTAAAAAGACGAAGTAACATTATCTATATATATGTTGCAAAAATGAGCAACCTCAAACCAAACCTATCTTTAAGAAAACTCTTATTTATGGAGCTGAACCGGCTTCTTCTTTTAAGGCGATAAGGCCCGATATTTATGGTATTTTTCTGTTTGGGGTGCATTCAAAGCGTGCCTTGACTCAATGCACGCTCTGCCAGCGGAAAGAGAGCAATGTCCCCAGGGAGCAGTTTCAGTTTTATGCTGTCTGATGATTTTGCCAGGAGTCTAGGAGAAGCCACCGGCGAGGATTTCTTTCTTTTTTTTCTGGAAGAGTTTGCCATCGACACTGATATGGTGGTCAAACCATTCACCACATTCTGCTAGTGTGCTCCGTTCGCTGTCAACTTGATGGAAGTCATTCCTGCGCTGCCGCATTGTTTCCTGGAAATACTTAGTTTCCCTGATGTAGGAAACGGGGAAGCCGGGTCGAACGAACCAGTACATAACGCCCTTAGCCTTTACCGCTAGTGCGAGGATCAATTGGGCCAAGAGATGAAGCTGCCAGTGGTTATCGATAGCTTGTGGCCTACGTCGACTTCTGGCAATCTTAGTATACGGGTTATTGTTTCGCTGACACTAGTGAGGTCGATACGTATCGTTGCATTGATGGTGGTGTCACATTTCCCCCGTTTTTTTTGTTATAAAAATATAGGTATTTGTTTATTTGTTTATTTATTAATAAAAAGTGACAGGCTTCATGGCTTCGTCTTCATGGCTTCGCCCCTATGGCGAAGCCATGAAGGCGATAGCAACACATGGGAAGGTGACGCGCAAAATAGGAAACAGATCCAAACGTGCCCCGCGTTTCTCACGCCCAAATGACGCACAAATGGCGCACAAAACGTGTTCACAGGTAAAGATGAACGCAAATAAGCGTCTCAGTTGTTACTTCGCTGTGTCTGAAAAGCGCGCTTTTTTCTCAAACGGAGACTGTGCAACGAATGCTGTGACCTTGGTGCACCCGATAACAAAAACAGAAATGTTCCGGTGAACGCCCAAGGCCAGATAAGACAATTGTCCCCACCACAAGATAAGCGCCCTTGTTAGCGTCCACCTTGCTCTCTCCCCGCGGGGCAAAGTACGCGTGGGAGTTGAGAGCGTGCTCTACGCGTCTTGACGATGTGGCGACGCGTGCTCATTGCACTATCATGCTAGTAATGATGAGAACACAATAGTTTCCCCCGAGATGCCCGTCACTAACGGTAAGTGGCATATATAAATAACTTGCCGTTCTAACGTTGAAGGAGGTGCTCCTTCGGGGCTCAGTGGCTAATGCCCCACACTCACACTTCAGAGATCCCATGTCCGATTCAGCATGCCGAAGTCTTTATCTGACTTATTTTTCTTTCTTGTGTTTTCATACGTAGATATACGTAAAGATATACGGTGACTGACAGGGACGTCGATGTTAACTCCAACACCAGTGGTCAAATCCAGCCCAGAGTGTCCACATAATTGTTATCACAATATTATACTGCGGACAAAAAGTCCAAGCAGGGTGAGCGAAATACACAACAAATGGTCAGAAGCAAGGTGGAAAACAGTTATTTTTACAAAACAATTTTGTTGTAAGCCGGAGAGTTATGACTTAAAAAAAGAGCACTTCATCAAATTGGTCAAAATAATATTCTAAGGAAGTAATAAAAGAACAAGAGTGTTTGCACAAATGGTCACGGGCGTTGGGGGAATGCTTCCGTTAGTTTATTCCCGTCGGCCATAGTTTGTGGGAAAATCAGTACCGAAAAGTGTCAGTCCTTGCTAAGATTGGCATTAGAGAATCAGACAGTAGTGCCGAGTGGGCCTGCTTTACAAGAGGAAAATAGATGCGGCGATGTCTAGGATAGCGAATAGGTAACTATATGAGGAGAGTTTAGTAAACTTTTTTTCCGAGTTTGTAATAATTCCATATCATTTGTAAAACCAATGGGGGGAGTCAATTGACTTAAATTTAGTGCAAATACATCGCACCGCTTTCCTTTAAAATATTATCAGGTTATAAATGTTAACGTTTGTGCAGAGTCCCAAGCTATGTTTTTTCTACGGCTGTTGAAGCCATCGTGAACTTACTTACTGCGCAACACCAGAAAAAAATACAAGACAGGGAGAAGAAAAAGAGAAAGAAAAGACGACGCTGAAGCCAACCAATGTCACGGACTATTTTCTCTCTGGTGTCCTTCCACTACTCTAGAGACGAGCAGATTGTTTCGGTCCTGCATACAAGCCTTCTCAACCCGGAAAGCTTTTGGCAGGTAGCGCGGTTAAAACTGGAGTGGAGGTAGCATCCTGTGTGGGTAGGTTTTGTGTACACTGACAAGAAAAGGCTATGTCGTTCACAGAGCAAGCTCAAATTAAGAACAGGAATTGAGACCGAAGGAGTGACATAGAAACGAGAAATTAAGACAACAGCAGATGCCAACGCAATTTAGATGGAACGATTTCAGATACAGCACTTAATTACGTTGTGTAGCAGCAAAGCATGAATCAAGCCAGCTTTCTCATTCTACAAAAGACTTCGCAAAATACAAAAACAATTATGTTAGGTGCCTCAAAAAGAAACCAAATAAGTTTAACAGATAAAACTTCACTGAAACCATCGGTGCCAATATTTGCTTTTTGACCTGTTGCGAAGTAGTATCAATGACGTATATTTAATGAAATTAAAGGAACGAAAAATTTGTAATTACCATTGATACAATAAGACCGAGGTTATTTCCTGTCAGTGATCCCATGATTTGAAAGCGTGGTTTTTTATCAGCTTTATTAACCCACAATTTGTGTAATAAATACCTTACAGTTAAACCAACGAACATAATGACCTCGATGCTTTCCTTGTGCATACTGTCTTTTAGATTCATTTTGTTGCGTCTCGAATCAAAATGAACCCTCTTAAAAAAACTATTTCTCTTCTTACCGACCTAAAAAAATAAACGGTCCTAGTGTGTCAGAGTGGATATATTAATACGTGGTGTTTTATGAAACAAGGGTCAGTAGTGGCCAAAGAGGGCAAGGATCAATTGTACAGAGTAGTACTAAAAGTGGTGGTCTATCGGCGTGCTACCATCGAAATGTCTTCTAAAGATGGTGGTCTTCGGCCGGCCATATGACATTAGTCCTGGTCTCGTCTGTGGTCACCCGTGATGCATC